TCGCTATGCATTACCGTCTCGATGATGGTGGATGAGGTTTTCCGGGGTTTCCTCACCTGTAAGTCAAATGGCACCATCAATCATCTTTAAGTCGCCCCGGAGCGCCACGGCAAATAATAATAATAATAGCCGTCCCATTCCCGCACAAGCTTAGCTTTTGGGGTTAAAATTCACTCGTACGGGGATGAATTAGGGAGAGTAACATTAATATATTGTTATTATTCATCCTTCGATCTGGGGTTGAAACATACATACAGGGTGAGGCACCGAAAACGAAACAGATCGCATATCTTGAAGACACATTTTTTTTGGAGAAAATGCAAAAAGAGATCGATTTTTATTCAATCATATCCTCAACTATCCTACATCCCTCCCCACCCCTCTGTCACTATTACCAATGAAATTGAAATAGGGAAAGTACTAAGTGTGACACATCATTGAAAAGGTAATTTTATAAGGAATTTGACTGTGTGACAGTTTATTACGTAACTTTTGATTTTGGCGCCATCTTGCGGAAAAAGTTACCGTATTTTAAATAATGATACTTTATTTGAAAGTAAAACTCATTTAATAGACAATTCATAATAAAAATTAAAAAAATAATATTGAAATTAAATTGAAAAATTTAGGACAACTCCCATAATTAAAAACTAAATTACTTTAAAGTAAATGGTCAAAGTGTTCTCCATTAACTTCCATACACGAATATAAATTATTCTCAAATCATTTAGCAATAATACGTTCACGTAACTCTTCTAAGGAACCTGGCTGAGTGGCGTATATTTTACTTTTTAGATATCCCATAAAAAGTAATCTAAGGGGGACAGATCAGGAGATCATTCAATAAATCCTCTTTGTCCAATCCACTGTCTAGGAAAGTTTTCATTTAAGTACTGACGAACCGCTGCAGCAAAATGAGGAGAAGCCCCATCCTGTTGAAGTATTTGGTGATCTTCAAGGTATCGGTTATCATTTTCTATTATCTCTGTTAACAATGGATCAACGATGTTTTCGAGTAATTCCAAATACATATCCCCAGTTAAAGTACCTGGTAATAATAATAGACCAACAATACGATCGCCAAATATTCCAGCCCAAACGTTTAACCTTTCTGGGTGTTGAGTATGCGAATGGAATCTGACCAGTATCTACAATTATGTCGATTGACAGTCTCGTTAACATAAGAACTGCATTCATCTGAAAAACAAATGTTATAAAGAGAATGTGGATCTTGTATAGCATGCTCGCTCATGATTTCACAAAATTGCAAGCGGCGATCAAAATCGTCTTCGTTAAGTTCCTGAACTAAATGAATTTTATAGGGATGGAATTTGTTGGCTATCAAAATTCTCCTGACAGATAATTCTGCAAGCTTTCTTGTGCTAAGAGTTGGATCTGCAACAACTTGTCCTAAAACGGCTACCTCTACGGCTTCGTTTCTTACTCGATTTTGAATCTGCCGTTTTTTATTTTGAACAGATCATGTTTGTCGAAATTTTGAAATAAGTTCCAAAACGTACTTACGTTTAACCTGTTTGTTTGGGTGTCGCTCATTGAAAATTGTACAGGTAGTGTTAGCACATTCGTTATTTTTTAAATAACATTTAACAATTTCTACTCTCTCCTGAATAGAATAAACCATTTTTATGTTTTACTCGCTAATAGACTTAAAGTATCAATGACGCTAAACTAAAAAACAGATCTAGTTGTTATGGAAATAAAAATCTTTATTTTTATTTTACGAAAACATAGGCGTAGTAAGTTCAATTTTATTCCAAAGGTAATTATGCATAAAATTTTTAAATTTGGCTTTCACATGACAATACGCTTATTTGAATTGTCACATGTCACACAGTCAAATTCCTTATAAAATTATCTTTTCAATGATGTGTCACACTTAGTACTTTCCCTATTTCAATTTCATTGGTAATAGTCACAGAGGGGTGGGGAGGGATGTAGGATAGTTGAGGATATGATCGAAAGATGTCCCCTTTGAAATAAAAATCGACCTCTTTTTGCATTTTCTCCAAAAAAAATGTGTCTTCAAGATATGCGATCTGTTTCGTTTTCGGTGCCTCACCCTGTATATCAAATTCACCTGTCATTACTGCAATAAATTCCACTCTATCAATGGGAATTCAAAGCCCCCTCCGTAATTGGAAGAATCGATCTAATAAAAAAGAAGAAGTTATGCTACAACTGTATGATTCATGAAAACCATCTTGTGGTATTAATTACAAAGAACATCTTTGAAATCTATGCACATATTATTGGGAAAAAAGAACGCCACTGACTTTTTGTAGTTTATGTAAATCCACTATATTGCATATCATGAACATGAAAAAAATCATTTTTTTAATTATATCACAAAATCGTCTCGCCCATTTATCTTAAACTTGATACTGACTTTTTTTACTTTATTTCGAGGTAGTAATTATATTTTACTTTCTGGAGCATCTTGGAAGGCAACTGAGGTAAACACCACTGTTTTCAGTAGGTTTACTATTACGTATTAAAAATAAAGTGTTTTAAACACCTACGAACCCAGCATTCACTAATAAAAAGGTGAAGAGCTCTGCAAAAGTTCAACTCTTAATTTCTATTTGACTAGTTTTAGGAATTTTTTAAAAATATTTAATTTTACGTAATACAAAATTTGGTGATACTTTTTGACCCAATGTATACGCCCAAAAACTGTAAATTAAAACATTAATTTTATCCTATTTTAAGCTATTCTGGTTTTTACGAGAATGTTTCTCTTAAGGTAAATATTTTAACTTAAAAATATGTTAGTTAATCGCTATTATTTCAATAAATTATGATAACCCATTGGTGTAGAATCAAGAACTTAGAAAATAATTTTTATCCAAGCTTTTTGAATACCCTATATTTCATAAATGTTAAGATTAATAATGATTCCGCACGCAATTTTTCACAAAAAATTAACTCCTAGTTAATATCTGTAGAATACTTCTTTTTCGAGATTTTTGAATTTTAGTCTTACTCATCTATGTACAATTTTGTCAATGGCTGATTGACTAATGGGACCCATATCATATGAACTTAATGGTCCCATTAGCTAATGAACCTTTAGTATTGATTGTGAAATCGGCCTTTAATAAAAATTTGCATTTTTGGAATTTTATATTGTACATAGCTTTCATGTTATACAGATATCAACCAAGAGTCCATTTTTTGTAACAAATTTCGAGAAGAGTTATAATTAATTTTAACTTTTATGAAATATATGGTTTTCAAAAAATAGGATCAAAATTGTTTCCTTAGCCTTTGATTCTACACCAATGGGTCATCGTAATTTATCGAAATAAATTATATTAAAAAACTAGTAATGGTAATTGTCGTGATATCGCCTGAAGCCGACTCTGTTCTTTGTTTACTACTGTATCCGCGACGTGAAGTATAGCGCTGGTCATATCGAGGAGACCCGCCTCGAGATTCGAGAAACCAACTCGCATGGAGGATAACTTCCAGAACTACTAGACTGAGCTTCTAATCAGAGTTGGTTCTTTCTAGACAATTTTATTTTTGTATAAATAGCACGACTTTGTCGGTAGACGTTAATTTTCGATGTATAGTAAAGTATAGTATAGTATAGTAAAGTATAGTAAAGATAAATTGTAATAGATAAATTAGAAATGTGAGTTTTAATAGTGCCTAAGTATTAAATAAATTAATTATTACGTTACAAATTATAAACTGTTTTTAATAAATCATTTTTAAATTAAACAATCGTTACATTATTAAACAACAATTACATATTTTCAAGTTAAAATTTTTACCGTAAGAGAATATATTTAGAAATATTATAAAATTTAATTTTTAGAATAAAAATGTGACATTTACAAGAAAATTCTATGTAGCTTTTCTCAATAATTAGATAAGATCTAAACGTTTACGGTACTTTTTTCTAAAACATCCTGTATATGGCACTGAGTTAAAATTTGATATTTTCTAAATAAGGAGCGATCAGACAAAGTCATTTCTAGATAAAGTTATTGATTCCTATTCCTTTTCATTAGATTAATCCAATGGTGAAAGCAATTTTGAGAAAAACCTTTTAAATCCCATTTAAAATAGACCAATCAAGAAAAACCAGATAAATCCACAATGCATATTTAAATTATTATTTTTTTAAATTTTATTTAAGTATTTGTAAAGTTAAAAATGAAGGGGTAAAAATATAATTTTGCGTAATTTTAAAGTTTGATAAAAAGTTGGAAAAATATTTAAATGTAATAAATATTTGAAAGAAATTTATAAATTAATAAATAAACGACGTGTCTATTCATCGGAGCGCTTCGTCATATAGAAAAATATACTATTCATCGGGGAGTGATTGCGCATGCTGATTTTCCGCCCTGAAGAATAGAATGTTCTAAACATCAGTCATCTTAGTGATATTATGCGAACGAAGTAAAATATGAAAAAAAAAACAAGAGATAAAATGGTATTTTTAGTTGCTTTATTTACAATAATTATGAAAATTGCAGAAATCTTATTTGTGTGCCTGAAACCTAAAAATAGGTAGATAATTTGTTACTATAATTTAAATATTTTTTTAAACTTAATTACAGTTTTATTTTTGACAAACATTGTGGTATAGAAACTGCACGTGTTGAATAAATAATAGATAACTTATTCGTTTATTAGAGACCATTGTGGAACACTAATTATTACCCTTTTATAATCTGCCTTACTCTAAACAAATAAATAAAATGTCACTTATTTTTTATACAAATTTTATTATTAAGCTTAATAGTACTGGATCATCGGCCTTAAAATTATGTTTTTATTATTTCTAACTTATTTGGAAAAATTTTGTTATAGTTCATGTGCAAGGAATTAATATTACCAATGGCAATATTAACCATGTTGAAAGCTACATTATTTTTATATTAAAAGTACTTTTATTCAAATACGAATCATACATTTTATAAAAAAAAACTATAAAACTATGTTATTGTTTTTTTTTGTTTCAGGTCATCAGCTATAAACGAACAACGCGTTTTAGCGTTTGGTCCCCCCGAAAAAGTCGAATTGGACGCCGAATATGACTGTGATGTAGACGATTATCATCCTGTGCAGCCCCTTATACACGACCACGGCGTCAGTTTTGTTTGTTTATCTTCACCTTTGACCAGAATCGATCAACATGTCATACAGGTAAATCCTAATTACTGATAATACCTGATCAAAACTGAAAAATATTTAAATACAATAATAAATCAAACTCAAATGTGATAGACGTAAAATAAAATGAATTAAACTCAAAGCCAATATTATATAAAACACCAACGACCGTTTCCCTTCAGAAAACAACTACTCCTTTGGCTAATACCGCAAAAGGTATTGAATTACATCCAAAGGAAAGACAGCAGAGATAAAAATTAAATTTCAACATTCTCTACCATTGATTTTGCTCACTAAGGAGAACATCATTCTTGGACCGGTTTCGTCCTTATCAGGACTCTTCAGCAAGAAATAGAAGAGTACTTGCTGGCTACGGTTTTTAAAGTAATTTCGAAAAAGTTCAATGGCTGTTTTACTTAAGCCTATACATTGTAATATAGCAAATAGTAATTTATGATTAAGCATAACAAACGCTTTACTGTAATCAAGTAAAATTAAAATTCTACTTTTATTTTTATCTATTTCGGTGAAAATATCGTCTGTAATATTTAATAAAGCAGTACCGCAACTATAACCTGCCCTAAACCCTGACTGCTCTTGTGGAATTAACGAGAACTTTAAATGTTTCGTTTATTCAAACTCAATTGCTTTTCCTAATATTTTAGACAAAGTTGGGAACAGGGTTGTAGGACTTAACTCATTTAAATTAGACGGGGATTCAACTTTTGGTATAGGCGAAACTACACCTTCTTTCCAACAGCTAGGAAAAGTGGAGTTCGATAAACAAAAATTTACCAAGTGGGTAATATATGGTAATATATACGGACATAAAAGTTATATAGATACCATCTAAACCGGTGGCTTTCGTTTTAATCCTCTTATTCTTCACAGAACCTGCACAAAGTTGCTTCTTCTGCTGGATTTATGACACTCATGTGCCTTTTGAGGCGACAGTGTCCAGTAAGAAGGCCTACTGTTATCCTAACGATTTGACGCTTTTGATCCAGTAGGTCTTTCGTGAACTTGGCCGATGGTTCCTTGATGAACTGTTCGGCCTGTCTCAGTCTTGGATAGTTGTTCCACCATTCCTGAGACTCGTGTTGACATCCATTGTTTAATGGATGCCTTGCACAATGCCTTAGCAACTCCACAGAAGGGTCCGGGGCCTGTCATGGCCTTATCTGAGCCTCCTCGGGCTAATTCGTCAGCCTTTTCGTTGCCCTGATATCCCTCATGGCCTGGAACCCAGGCTAAGGTCACCTTATTTTAAGTACTTAGCTCTGTCAGGTCTTCTAGACAGTCTTTCACTAGTCCTGATTTGATTTCCGGTGAAAGAATTGCCTTCAGAGTATATGATAATAGTTTTGCATGATACTTGCTGATTTTTCATGTAGGTAAATTCAAGTACAAGTAAATTCAAATACAAGCGAATTCAAGTTACCTTTCGATTTTTAATAGTTATTGGTTTATAGTTTATTGGCATTTACTATATATTTGCCTGGTATGATGTTAACCAAAATTATTTAAAATTTTAAATTAACATTAAGTAGGTAGGGGCACAGTTTATTGCTAAAGAATCAGTTTTCCCACTCAGACCAGTTGAATGTTCCAAAATAATATCCACTCCAGGGATACAAATTCAGGATGCACAGAAGTCTGCTGTTTAAATATAGGCGGTTATCATGTATTGTATTGGTTATGATTTAATTCTGTATGCGCCAAGGATACAAATCCGAGTTGCGCAGTGTATAAACTGGAACACTGAGATCAAAAGTGCCGACGCAGAGTGAGCCAACTGATTCTTTAGCTATAAAATGTGGTAGGGGTATCTAAATAAAACACTGTTCTAAAAATATATATTTTTTTAATTACCAATTACAAAAAAACATGGTATGGCAAAAAATATCGTAAAAAAACTAAAAATTTTTAAAATAATATTTTAAATATATAAAATACTTTAATTTTATTAACTAAAATTTAATTTAATTTTTTTATGCTTAGTTATTAATGTTATAACTTACTGCAACGTTTCTTTTTGCAGCAGGTGGTGTTCCAAAAACAGTTGAATCAGAACTAAAAACCCATACATTAGATATACATACATATAGGTAATAAATAATGTTTAGAGGTAAACAAAAAATAATATTTTGTATTTTTACCTGTTGGATAAGTCATCCAAAAATAGAAAGCCCTCACACCGTCTGGAGTTTGCATCTTTTCTAATATATCTAGTACCATTTGCACGTACCAAAACATTTTCAGGAAAACAGTGTTCTAAACACAACTCTGGGTTTTCACGAAGGGGCTGATTTTCAAGGATTCCTATTAAAAAAACCCAAAGTTTTCTTTTTTCAGGATCTTGCGGAAACCTAAATAGAGTAATAAAAATATGTATAGGTGCTTAATAGGTAAATCATTTTTAAGGTATTCTACATTTTACGTTAAATTTTCTTTGCCACTATTCAATAATTATTTATTGGTATAAGAAAAATTTACTAATTTATAAAAGGAATATTACTTTAAAAACTGTTTTAGACTACACAAGTTTTTGATACAATTTCTTGTACAATTTAAATTGTATATTATCAAACCTGCAGTAAATTGTCTGAAAAATTAGATTGGATAATCATTTTTCAAACAATTTACTATGTGATCCTATATAATTTAAATTCTATAAGAAATTGTATCAAATCTTGTACAAGCCCTACTCCACTGGTTAAAATGAAAACAACATATCTTAACCTAAAAATACTTACCGATGAAACGATACATTTTGTCTTAAATGATCTACCTTTTTGAACACTACACATGCATGTACCATAATTCTTTATATTTCTCACAAAAGTTCACAAAAATAGTATTTTATAAATGAATAAATCACACAGAAACTGTCAGATACTGTCAGAAATACAAAATAGCTGTTAGACCTGATTGGCAACGTTGCGGCTGGTTACGGTACTACATTTCATTCATAAAAATTGTAAATTCGTAAAATAAGATATTCAGCGTTGCCGTATTTACGGAGTTCTTCTTCGAAACCCTAATATTTTATTTAGATTAATATTGATTTTTTTATAAAAAATTTAGCTTATATTTAAACTTCAAAGAATAATTTGATTAAAAACATATTTTTATATATATATTATAAAATTATAGTTACAGGGCACCTCAAATTTTATTTTTCGAAAGTAATTTCTCCAAATAATTTTGACAGACTGATAAAATCGGCAAAAACGCAATAAACGAGAATCTGGTGGGAATTATGATTTGCCACATAAAAATGTAAACAATTTGGTCTCTTAGTTGTAATGTCTTTGGTTAGAACATAGGTTGCAAGACTAATATTAATTACAAACATACTTTACTTTCATACACAAATTTTATCAAGATGTCGTAAATTTTTTTTTGATTAAGGGAGAGGAGATGGCAAATGTTAAATGGAGGAAATACAGCGAGCTGTACTAGAAAATGTAATTAAATGCCTTAATTCTCAGTTTTAAATTTGAATTTATTGTAGTTTGGTCGGTGTTGGAGCTACAATGTTTGTGCCCAAAAAAAGAAGGCTAACATGCGAATTGGTACCAAGATCGTTATAACATTAAATTTGGAGTTACAATATGTGTGCTTTAGATCGACGATATAGTGAATAATACTGGCGGCCTATTTTTAACCTGTCAGCAGTAAATATTACAGTTTACACTATATACAGTTCACTTTAGACAGTATAAAGTGAAAAATAACACTGAAGTAAAATTTTCAACAATAATGATAATTTATTTACCATAAAACGGCTGGAAGCAATGTAAATTAATTACAGAGTAGCGAAACGAAAGATGAAAAATAGAATGATCATAAATTAGGTTTATTGCTTTTTCTGGATTCTAAAAGTGTTTCTTCTTCACCTAAATGAGGTAATAAACTATGAAGTGTGCGTACTTTTAGAATCTAAGCAATATAAAACTCCAATTAAGTTAATGCTAAATATACTGAAATGGTTGTCAAGAAAAAAATCAGTGAAATTTATTTAGCTACCAGGGCCCCGATTCTTGACTCCACGGGAAAATTTTTCAATTAATAAAAATTCCACAGCCTATTATCCAGTGGTATTATAAAACGGTATTCTTTACTAGGAGTAGGAATCTAATTTCTTTTTGAATTTTGATCATTCGTGTATTTAACGTTTGTCTGGTATTAAATTCAAAAATATTGGAAACTGACCAAAAATAATTAAGATATTTCATTACTTTCAAGTTCTTATGTTGATGATCATTGATTCTTGTCATGACATTAATAATAAATATTGTCAACTTTTTATTAATGTTCTTTCCTTGCATTAAAAAAATAACTGTGGTAATAGATACAACGATGAGTACAAAAAAAAAATTATCAGAGACTCAATTTAAAGGCATTTTCTTGTTGACTGATGTAGTTGTTACAAACGCTGAAATCGTATGAATTCAGTTTGATGATAGATACGCTCAAATAATTTAAATTTTTAATAAAAAAGTGGGTTTCCATTTAAAAATAAAAAATTAATTGCGATTACCTGTTATTTTCGAAAAACTGAAAGAAAGCCATGATTTCACAGACCAGCTGTATAAAGTATTTGACAGTATTTGTTCCAAGCTTTCAAACAAAAAAGTTGTTATATATATCTCAATTAATAAGGAAGATAAGAGCGGGTGGAATTATTAAACGGTTTGCTAATAACACAAATCTTAGATACGCCACTGGTCCACTGTAAATCGATCTCAATGGGAACTTTACAACTTACAAAGATTTTATACATTCCCATATTTTTTTCCATAAACGAATTAGCAGCAACATATTAAAAAATATATTATCCTATATGACGGTTATTTTGACAGCTGACATAAAAATTTTCAACAAACAATTTTTTTCTATAAATATCCCTGAAATTTAAATTATTAATAAAAAAGGGTGATTTTATTTAAAAATTAAAAATAAATTAAGATTTTTGTTATTTCGGAAAAACCGGAAGTACGCCATGACGTCATAGACCAATTGAATCC